ATTGGAAACATAAACAACTGGAAGGGAGATGGAGAGGGCCTTATGAGGTGATAATGGCCTCTCCCTTAGCTATAAAGATTGCAGAATCTAAGTCCTGGATCCACTGGACCAGAGTCAAGGTGGCCGCAGAACCCCTGTGGACAGTGACCAGGGATCCAAAGGTTTCTACCAAGCTCACTCTTAAACATGTTTAATGTGTTTAATGAATGTTTTATTGTTTGTATAACAGATATTATAGTAGCACAAGTGTATCCTGCACATATATCTACGGCTGTTCGGCTGGAATTCAACCCCCTGCTAAGCCACTCCCGGAAGCTGGCTTTCTACACACGGGAGAAGAAAGGATGAAAGGATTATTTCTGCTTTTATATAGTACTAATGTTGCATGTAATAATGTTTGTCTTTCTAATTTAGGCCAATGGAGCAAGCCAGAAGAAGCTCCCTGTATTGTTCAGTCTTATGCTATAGGCACTGGCACTTGTGATGGTCACCCCCTATTGGTTTTTCACCAGAATGCTGGAATGGTATCTTGCCTCATCCTTGTCAATTTCCACTAGTGTTTGACAGAATAGTTAAAGAAACTTGCATCACTAGACAACCTGTCAACCCAGAAGCCTGTCAATATGCTGGATATATTCTTAGGAAAGGCATATGTGTTAGGGCTCCTTATAAGAAGCCTCCTCCTCCTGTCACATTGGAATGTGGGCCTCCTTTATCCTGGGGATGGAAGGGGACCTGCATTGTACATGTAATCCCAGTGGAATTTGGAGTTACTATCCAAAGACCCCAGAGGAAACGCCCAGAGAGAAAACGAAGTAAAAGGTCCCATCAGAATAAGGATATGCCCCATCCATTGGAGTCAAGGATGCAATATAATTTGTGGGTCCAATTGGCTAAAATAGCCAATACAACAGATTTTTGCCTTTCTGAAGCATATGACATGGAGAATCTGCTGTCCGCATGTTTAATACCAGTATGTGTCCCAGTCACAGTGGCCAAGGAGTTCAGTCACCATGTGTTTAAAGAACATATAGGCTATGAAACAATGTACAGCTGGGGTCACATTTCCAAGTTTCTACCAACCAATGCTCTAGCTTTACATACTCCTAACGTAGCCATTCCAGAAGACTTACAATGTGCACATGTCACAGGGTGTGAGCAGAATACACCTTCACCTCATTGCCTGAAAGTAAGCCAAGAAAGGCTAAATTGCACATCTTTCCAAACAGTGTCTTTTGGGTATGCAAACATATGGTTACCTAGAGGGTGGTTCTTCACTTGTAGAAAAGACTCTTTTAATTACATTCCTGCCAATCTAAGCACAACATATTGCTGTCTAAGTAGACTGACTACCTTCCTACCAGATAGATCACTTTTCACCTCCCCTAACACCACATGTTACAAAAGGGCAGAAGTTTTGAATGAGGATTGTGATTCCTCTCGTACTCTTCTGAACGCTGCTGAATACAATGCTTTGGCTGTCTCGTTGGTGGGAGTTCCTGCACTTGCTCTAAGGGCTCATGTCAATATAAATTCTGTGGCCTGCAACTTGGCTAAAACTATCAATGCCACTTCAATAGCCTTGTCTGCTATCGATCAGAAAATGATAGAATTACGTAAGGCAATTTTGCAAAATAGGGCAGCCATAGACTATCTTCTACTCCGCCAACACATGGGATGTGAGGCCTTTGAGGGGATGTGCTGTTTTAATCTATCAGATCAATCCCCAGTTATAAATAAGCAAATTAAAGTGCTCCATAAAATGGCATCAGAGCTGCAAATAGATTCCCTGGGAAATTGGTGGAGTAACTTATGGTCCTGGCTTCCAATGGGCCTTATTGGGAACATTATAAGAGCAGTAATCATCTTCATCGCTATTCTGATCAGTAGCTGTTTTCTTCTGCAATGTACCTTTTCGATGATGCACAATATAACACTACCTAAACGTCAAGTTATGGCCATGTGGGAATTCCAGAAACAAGAATATACATATATACATATATACATACATACATCAGACCCAAGTGTTACAGAATGAAACCTATCTGCAAAGATGAGATAAGTCTCATCAGGGGGGAATAAAGTGGGAAGCTGGAAAAATACTGATTGTCCGACAGAATGTGGGTGAAAGGGAGGTTTTCCTGCTTACTAGACAACCCTTAAAATTAGAATGGCCAGACATCCTGTTCTCAACTTTGCACATGATATATTGCAAACTGTTTATCACATGGTGTATTGAAAACTGCTTGACACTTGAAATATTGCTAAAAGCATTCCTATGTTAAAAGAGGAACTATAGATTATAACCATGTCTAGTAACTTTCCTATGTTAGAATAAGGAACTATAGAATGTAACCATGTATGGAATATGTCTTGATCAGGAAATAACTGACGTATTACAGGTTATAAAAATGATCATCTACGCCCAGTCGGGTATTCAGATTTTTTTTAGCTGTGTACAGCTCTCTGAACCTGCGCAATAAACTTCCCTTTCCTTGAAAGAGCTGACTCAAGTCTCTCACTTCTACCACAGTTGGGCAGATAGGAGTCCTTTGCAGGCGATGAAATGAGCCTGCTTCAAGAACAGGTCTATTACAGTCCAGATGACAGTATTTCCACTACTTTCAGGTAGGTCTACTATGAAGTCCTTAGCTATTTCTTCCCATGGTTGAGAAGGGTCTGCCACAGGTTGCAGTAACCCAGGGGTTTTCCCTGGGATTCTTTTCATTGTGGCACATACAGTACAACTTTTTACATAGTTTTCCACATCCCTTTTCAGTCCCGGTGGGTGAGGTGAAGGGTTTTCAAATATCCAAAGTGTCCAGCCTGTTTTACATCATGGCTGTGTTTGAGAGCATTAAGATGGAGGGCTTCTGGCAAATATAGTCTCTCCCCTTTGTAAGCCAAGTCACGGCACATTACAGAGGTTTGATTATCTTTGAACCATTGGTCGGTGAGGAGCTCTTGTTTTATTTTCTTTACTCCAGGGTCATCAGGATTGGGGACCCTGTGAGGTGTAAGTTGAGCGGCAGTTTGTGGATGGGGGATAATTGCCTTGTTAACCTCCTCCTGTTCGCTTTTGTATTGGGGTACCGGGATAGTGCATCAGCTAGGAAGTTCTTTCCTCCTGGTATGTACCTGTATGCACGTACTCCTGGGCAGGCCTGCCAGCTTGTTTTATTTTGTGGATTTGTTCTGCTGCTTTGAGGTCTATGGATAGGTCCTCAAATCTTTCTCTCAGTCCTAGGAGGAAAAGGTGGGGATCTCCCAGTTCGGGGGCTTGCTCACTATATAGATTGTTCAGCCATTCAGATGCTTCTCCCTCTAGGTTGGACACAATGACATCGACCATGGCACCTGGTTCCAGGTAGAGATAGGCCCAGCGATTCAAGTGAGAACGCACTTGGTTAAGGGAAAAAAACAGCTTCTCTGGGTCCCCATCAAAGGTTGCTCTGAAAGGTGGTGCAATTACAGGCTGTTGCTGCTGGCCCCACTATGGCCACTGGTGCAACGGTTGCTGGGCTCCCCACTGCTCTTGTGCCCCCCCAGTTGCTGTTGGCCCCATCTGGCTGCAGATTTATGCCCAGGGGTTGCATGTTTGGGGGCTGTGGCCAATCTCCTTGCTGTGGCTGTTCTCCCATCAGCTGCTGATCTCCTGGCTTCTATACCACCCCTAGGCATTGCAAGGCCTCTATTAGCCGTGGCAAGTTCAGAGGACATGGATGAGCCACCTGCTGGGGAACCCAATCTCCCCATTGCTACAGAGGACTCAGACTGGGATTCCCCCTCTCTTCAGGGCTGGAGTCCCTGGCAGGAACATCTGCAATGGAAGGGCTGTAGGCTTCTCTCTGTAGGAATTAATTTTTGGTTTTCATCTCTGAGTTTTGAAATCTTTCCAGTGACTCACTAACAACTTTGTTATCTCTCCGTTCTGCTTTTGAAGTCTTTGCTCTCAGCTGGGAAATCTGCCAGAATCCTTTCCCCTCCTGCTTGCCGGATGTCGCTCCCCCCCCCCCCCCGGGGGAAACTGTTGCAGCCAGAGGGCTGGCCTCAGGCAATTTTTCTTTCTCCATAATGAGATCTTCCCTGAATCTTTACCAGCTCCTCTCAAGCCTAGAGGCAGTGGATGGAGTTCGGGACCCCAGGTCATTTGAAAAGGATTGAGATCTTAGCATGTTGTTATGGTTCCGGCTAAAGAAATACTTCAAAGAACATCCAGGCATTGATTTCCCTAAAAGTCTTTTATTGATTCAAAATGTCGGCACAGGGGTCTGATGCTAAGATCTAAGTTCTTTTCCTCTGAGCAGTTAAATTATCAGCATGTTCCCTCCCTAAATTAGCTGTCATATATCACATTATCCAATTAGTGTGAAGGTCAAAGGTTTCCTTCCTCTTTCTTTCCCGGGCTTTACCCCCACCCTCTTCTGTTCTGTATTAACCCCCAAAATACCAGACAGTTCTGCATATTGTCAAAGCAAGAATATACAGTATTTGCAGCGTTGACACTGTCTTTAAGCAGCTTGTAGAAATGCAGTTCAAACAGTACTTATAATCCAAAGAAAAAAACAGATGGTTTCAAAATAGTTTATATCCTTTAGTTATAATCCACCCTGCAGAACAAAGAAAAAAGCAGCCCCGAGAAAGCCTTCTCTGTTCAGCTATAATCCACAGGACTGTGAAGGTCAGGAACATTAAACATCAAAGGGCTTAAACGTCAAACTATGTCTGGGCATCTAGCCAACTTATACCTTTCTAGAAAAATTACAGGTAATCCCCCAGATACAAATGTTTATTTAGCAATATTTCACAAAAACTAGGTTATTCAGAAAGGGTACTTACATTAAAAATTCAAAATTGCAATCAAAAATAGGCCTCTGTAGCCATGTGACGTGGATTCAATATCGGCTGCTTTGGTGGCCATTTTAACTCTGTGACTTGCCTGGGCTGGTTCGGGCCTATGAGAAGCCGGAAGTGTTTTTGTGTGTGTGCGTGTGCGTGTGCGTGCCTGGTGACATTGCCAAGCAAGATTTTTGCAGCTGGCAGGACCACTTGTTTTTGTTTTCCTGGAACTCCGTGTGCTGCTTGCTGGGCTTGAGGACTTGGCTTGTTGAGAGCTAGAATTACGTCTGTAAGTATTTTAAAATATTCTTTTTTGTTACTTTATAGTCCTGTACTGTACTGTTCCAAAATCATGGCATCTGGCCCTCTTAATTCCTGGCAAATAGATGGGGAAGAAATGGAGGTAGTGACAGATTTTATTTTTCTGGGCTCCAAGATCACCTCAGATGGGGACTGCAGCCAAGAAATTAAAAGACGCTTGCTCCTGGGGAGGAAAGCTATGGCAAATCTAGACAGCATACTAAAAAGCAGAGACATCACCCTGCCAACAAAAGTGCGTATAGTCCAGGCCATGGTTTTCCCAGTTGCAATGTATGGCTGTGAAAGTTGGACCATAAGAAAGGCTGAGCGCAAAAAATTGAGGCCTTTGAACTATGATGCTGGAGAAGACTCCTGCGAGTCCCTTGGACTGCAAGGCGTTCAAACCGGTCAGTCCTAGAAGAGATCAACCCCGACTGCTCTTTAGAAGGCCAGATCCTGAAGTTGAAACTCAAATATTTTGGCCACCTAATGAGAAGGAAGGACTCACTAGAGAAGAGCCTGATGCTGGGAAAGATTGAGGGCAATAGAAGAAGGGGACGACAGAGAATGAGATGGCTGGATGGAGTCACTGAAGCAGTAGATGTGAACTTAAATGGACTCCAGAAGATGGTGGAGGACAGGAAGACCTGGAGGAATGTTGTCCATGGGGTCGCGATGGGTCGGACACAACTTCGCAATTAACAACAACAACTGTACTGTTTGTAATTACTTTGGGAATTGCTCTGATTTTATTGTTTTGTAGGTACAGTATTTTGCAAGATTGATTGTTTGCATTTGCTTGAAACTTATAGCATGTGGCTGCTGCTGCTCCTTTTCCTAACATAGACCCACCAGAGTTTCTGCTAACACTTACTGGAAGGAAATTTCCCTCTCCCCCACCCCATTTTGGATTTTGGCTGGACAGGCTTGTCCTAATAAGGAGTAGGTTTTTTTTAAGGTTTTAAATTTAAATTGCCTCCAGAAGTTGTGGGTGTTTTCTCACTGGAGGCTTTTAAGAAGAGTCTGGATAGGCATTTATCAGAAATACAGTACTGTACTCTCTTATGAGAGCAGTGGGTTAGACTAGATGACCTCAAGGTCCCTTCCATCTCAGTTACTGTTGCAAGCCAACAGTTCTGTAAACTCCACCCCATCTCCCTCTGCATGCCTGGCTGGAGATTTCTGTAAACTGGAGACGCTTTACTTTATTGGCAGCTACAATCGTAGAGTTCTCCACCCTCCTCTGAAGAAGCTTGAGCTGCCTAGCCACAAATGGCTTTTTTTTTTAAAAAAAATCCTACTGCCTACTTGGGAGGCAGTTTACAAGTACTGTGGTTACTGAAACCAGAAACAGGTGATTTGCGGCTAGAAACAGCCTGCAGCAGCGGTGGAGAAAAGTCTCTCATTTCTTTCAGCCATCGGAGGAAATAATAAATCAAATCTTTGTTCATTTAATGATCTATTTGATTCAATTAATGGGTTTGATTTTAAAATGTTGTAATATTGAGTGTGATTCATTTGACGATTACGAGCCTAATGGGAATGCTCTATTAGGCTCGTACTTGGGGGACCACCTGTATAGATAAGTTCAGTAAATATTGTAGTGTAGTTCTTTGTTCTTGCCATTAGATGTTCTCAGATGCCCTCTTTTTAATTTTCCAATTAGTTTAAACAAAGTTTAGTCCAATAATCTCCAAAAATAGTATAAAATAATATATAAAAAGAAGAAAATAGTTAAAACTCCCCAAACTTTTCTTTTTTTCTATTTCTCTTTGTTATATTTATGTTGTAGACTTCTCTGTTTCCTCCAGATGCTTAAACCGCCGCCTTTTTCTGGAGGAAGGATAACTCTGGGAAATTGCTTTCAGATTTTTTTTTCCAAAAACAGGTTTTCACATTGTAGAGAAGAAAAGGAACATAGTCTCATCCCAGTCCAAACTGTTGCTATGCTTGTATTAATCCGCTTTTCCTCCCTACAGTCAGCAGCTTCCGAATGGCTACGTAAATGAGCCAGTCTTTCTCCTGCTATTCCAGAGGGCTCCTTGGATCAAGCAGGTTGGCTACTGCCTTCCTGCAATCTAAAAGGGTCCCCTCTTGGTCCGTCACCTCTACGGGGTGACTTTGGGTCTTTTTGGACCCACAGCAGGCTGAAACCGGGTGTGGGAAGCAGAGCTTCGATTCCGCCCACCTCGCTCTTTTTTCTATCTCAATGATCAATGATCAAACACTTTTTGAAACAGATTTCACTTTCAGTATGTGCCCAGAATGAAACCCATGAAGGTAATCAATAATATGGTGGTAAGGAATAAAAAGGATAATAAAATATTGGGCCTTAACCCAAAACACAATATCTTAAAGTATGATTAGTTGCTACTCGAGGCACCTGACCTCTATGGGATTTAATGATGCTTCAAAGTTGTCTAGCTGGAGTTGCTGCAGGGTTTATTACAACAGCCCCAAATTATTATGATCATGGCATTCGTTGGTTTTAGTTGCAGAAGACTGATCAACTGCACAGATCCAGAGACGGTTCTCAAACATGTGCTGGCCTCATGAAGATGTTCTCTTATTTGCAGGGGAAGTTGAGTAAGGTTTTTTTTTTTTCATGATAGTGTTCTGATGATGGACTTTCAAATGTATTCAGAGACATAGTGGTGGAGTAAATAACCCCTCTGTGACCCACAAGATTCTCCTTTTTAAAAAGATAGATTTCATGGACACGTGGTATGTCATGATTTTCAAATAAATTATGGCATAATATCATGCTAGGGACAGATTGGGTTACACAGTCTTTGATTAAAAAAAAATTCTTTCTCTGTTAATTAAATGGTGGTCAGAGGTGACCTAATTAATGTCAATTATTGTGATAATATCTTGTTGACAAAGTACAAACACTAATCATACACAGCATTAAAAGACATATTGCTATTCTTTTTCCATCAATGGAGGAAGGAAGAAAAGCACAAAACTTCAGATAAAAGGAAACAGTCAACTACGGATCAACTAGAGAACATCAAAGAAAAAGAACCAGCAGGACGATGATAGCGATGACGACATTTTTGTTTGTTTTGCTGCTTGCTCTGCTGATTCTCCTCTTCCTGAGACAACTCTGGTCCCGAAGACATTTGCCTCCCGGTCCTTTGGCTCTACCTCTCATTGGGACTTTGGGGGCTTATGGGATTTCATTTCAGGAAGATTATATCTCTAAGGTATTTCATTCTAAATAAGCAGTATTATGCAAAATAATTCTCGATGGTTTTCTTTGTACCATTATTGTAGAAAAATATATTAGCCTAGTAAAATATTCTTGCATGATGAGAAATTTAATTAATCAAATGATAGTGATGACACTTGAGGAGTTATTTTCCACATCATGCCAAAATATTCAAGCCATGACCTCCTCAATAAAATTTCACAGGGCAGGATGTGAAATAATGGGGTTGAATTTTTAGAAGGCAAATTCTAGTTCAAACTTACCAAGAAACCTTTAATAATTGGAATAAATTCTGCAAAGTGAGGGCGGTTTCCCCTTCACTCTGCTCAGATGAGATTCCACATTCCTCTGTTGAAGATGCTTCATTTTATATTCCTGCAGTGGATAATGGGTGGAATTTGATAGCCTAAATGCCCCCTTCTAATTCTGCAGTTCTACAATGATTTAAAAAGGTTTCTGGATCTGAATTTTGAATAGTAGCATCTGTTTTAGATAATGATTTATATGTAGGTAGTTGGTGAATGAAGCAACAGATTTTTGTGCAGTCACTTTATGTGCACAAATGTGATATGCACACAGTATAGTAAGACCTAGATATTGGTGCTTATAAAGTTTCATTGAGCTCTCTCTCCCCTTCTGGCATGTTATCCTGCACCAAAGGTTTTAGCAATGGAAGATACTTTAAAATTTAGTGTTTAGAAGTTCCTTTGAAGGAACTACTGTTGGTGGAATTATCATACTGTAGTAATATTCCTCCAATAAACACCATCATAATTACTAAATCAAGTTGAAACAACACTTTCTCAATAATAATTTCTATATTCTTCTTCTGTGTTCCACTATTTTATTTAAAAAAATCAGAAGTAAAAGAATCATCCAACTCAAGATGGAGGTTAAAGAACCATAACTTTCAAGAAGTAGTAGCAGATTCTTTTTAAGTGGCTGAATCCTGTAGAATTATTTGGTAATGCTAAAATAATACAGAAACATCAAGATCCTATCCTTGGAGGGAAATAACAAAAGGCTTTTACTTAAATCAATGGTATCTCCAAGCAACAGTAACAAGAGAGGAGAACAAAAATAGGGGGAAAACAGTTCATGAGCTGGGAATATCGTTGATGACTGTTTTCTAAGTGACACAAGTGCATTCTCAGAGACAAGTTTCAGGTAGAGAGAGAAAAAGCTCATTCCCTTTGTCTTCTTTGTCTGAGAGAAGCCAGGGAACACATTACTATATTAGTTATCTGAAAAGCAGCAATGTTGTAAGACACCCTGTAGTCTGAATGGATGTTGCCAGACTCTTTCTATTTGGGGATACTATAGTATCTGCATGAATCACCTATCTCAAGGATATTGATCAGTTGTTTTTTTTTATCAACTTACCCAAAGGTTTTTATGGAGATTGAATTGCTCTTGTGGCCAATCTTAATTCAGGTTGGAGTGCATCAGATGAAGAACAATATTTCAGCATGGCTGTTCTTTCATCAGTCCCAGGAAGATTCAGATCATTTGCAGGCTCACCAGGGAAATCACACTTAAGGATCCATCTGGAGTAAAAGATTTAAGAGTTGTATCCCAATGACTGAATTAGCCTAATGAACCTGTTCAGACTAGGTAGAATAGAATAGAGCTGGAAGGGACCTTGGGGGTCTTCTAGTCCAGCTCCCTCCCTGCTTAAGCAAGAGACCCTGTACCATTTCAGACAAGTGACTGTCTAATCTCTTCTTAAAAATCTTCAGTGATGGAGCACCCACAATTTCTGAAGGCCAGCTGTTCCAGTGGCTAACAACAACAACAACAACAATAATAAAGTTGGAAGGGACCTTGGAGATCATCTAGTCCAACTGCCTGCTCAGGCAGGAAACCCTATACCATTTCGGACAAATGGCTGTCCAGTGTCTTTTTGAAAACTTCCAGTGCTGGAGCGTTCACAACTTCTGGAGGCAGGTTGTTCCACTGATTAATTGTTCTGACTGTCAGGAAATTTCTCCTTAGTTCTAGGTTGCTTCTCTCTTTGGTTAGTTTCCATCCTTTGCTTCTTTTCCTGACAGGTGCTTTCCTCCAGGTGCTTTGGAGAATAGCTTGACTCCCTCTTCTTTGTGGCGAGATATTGGAAGACTGTTATCATGTCACTCCTCATCCTTCACTTCATTAAACTAGACATACCCAATTCCAGCAGCTGTTCCTTATATGTTTTAGCCTCCAGTCCCCTAATCATCTTCGTTGCTCTTCTCTGTTCTCTTTCTAGAGTCTCAGCATCTTTTTTACATTGTGGTGACCAAAACTGGATACAGTATTCCAAGTGTGGCCTTACCAAGGCATTGTAAAGTGGTATTAACACTTCACGTGATCTTGATTCTATCCCTCTGGGTTTTTTTTAATATACATTTTATTGTTTTTTTTTTAATTTTAGCATCAAAGTGCTCAGGAAAACACTGTGGTGAAAGGGTAATCAATCATAATAAAAAAGTATATATATACATATATATGTTTTCTGAGGTTTTTGCGGGTGTTTGTATGTAGGTCTTTGGTTGTTCGGGTTTTCTCCCGCGTAAAATTGGAAGTGTCTTGGCGACGTTTCGACGAAGTCCCATTCGTCATCTTCAGGCTGCTCGAAGCACGAAGCTGAAAACACCAGCCTGAAGATGACGAATGACTTGACTTCGTCGAAACGTCGCCAAGACACTTCCAATTTTACGCGGGAGAAAACCCGAACAACCAAAGACTTACATACATACATACATACATACATACATACATGTTAACAATTACACTAAAAATGTGATCCCTGGGTATATCCATATTTAAAACCAAACAAATAAATGTGAGCACCAGGAAGTGCTAAAAAATTTAATAAAATTTAGTAAAATGTCAATAAAATTACAATAAAACCAATAAAACGCCTAGCTTTCGTCAGCAACTGCTGCGTGGCGCTCCCAGGCAGGGAAAGTCCTCAACTTACAATCGGTTGGGTAGTCTTTGACTTAGGACTGATTGGGTAGTCCTCGACTTACGACCGGTTGGGTAGTCCTCAACTTACGACCGGTTGGGGGTTGCAGCATTAAAAAGGTTGAGAACCACTGCTCTATCACTTCTTTTCTATTAGTAAGGATTAGGTCCAATATAACTTTTCCTCTAGTTCCCTCCTCTACTTTTTGGATGACAACGTTGTCGGCTAGGTTAGTTAAGAATCTGTTTGATCTCCCACTCACTGCAGAGTTTGTCTCCCAGTTGATATCTGGATAGTTGAAGTCTCCCATTACTACTGTGGCAGTAATTTATTTCTTCTGATTGATTGGGTGGCTTGTAATATATACTGATGGCGATGTCACTTTTTTTCCCTTTTATATTGACCCATATACATTCTGGAGGGATTTTATCTTTGATCACGTGCATTTCTGCAGATATGTAGTGTTCTCTTACACATAGTCCAACTCCTCCTCCTCTTACTGTAGATATATTTCTTTTGAACAATTTGTACCCATCCATCAGTCCATTCCAGTCCATGGGTTTCATCCCACCAGGTTTCTGTAATGCCAATTATGTGATATCTGCCCTCATGCACTATTGCTTCTAGTTCAGCCTGTTTATTCTCCAAGCTTTGAGCATTTGTATATAAGCATTTAAGACCTTTTTGCCTGTCTGATGGTGTGTTTCCTGCATCTCCTGATTGTCACTGGAGTTTTTCTTTTTTGTCATCACTCCCTACCTCATTGTTTGATTTGTTTTCTTGGGATTTATGATGGTTTTGTGTTCTAGACATTCTAAAAATTGGTCACCCTTCCCCCTCAAGGTGAGAAATGAAACTTCTTTGGAGGACATATATGGGGTCCCCTTAACTAACTTGCTCAGACAGAATAAGCTTCTTGGATAAGCAGTCAAATGTTTTGAACCAACAAGAGAAGAAGTCCGTTTGCCAAGACTCAACTTCCAGAATTAAGAATTTAGGAAAGACCAGTGCTTTTTTTCTAAAAAAAAAAAAAAAAAAGTGCTGGAACTTGCACACGTCATATAACTTGCCTTGCCTATCTTACAAGGTTCCATCCAAAAGAGGTGCCGGAACTCCGTTCTGGGCATTCTATGAGAAAAAAAGCCCTGTGAAAACTGTAGGTGGCATATGAATTGTGAATAATTTACTTCATTTGATTATAACGTTGCTCAACATTGATTCACTTGGCAGCATGTAAAGCAATATGGAAATATATTGACCATTTGGGCTGGACCTCAACTTTTCATAGTGCTGTCTGGATTCAAAACTGTGAAAGAAGGAATGACCAGCTTCCCAGAAGAATTCTCTGACCGACTAGACAATCCTTTAATGACTGCTTTAGGGAAAGAGAGGGGTAAGTGCAAGTAGTGAGAAATTGTAGATAAAAAAGCATCACACTGTTATAATTTGTGGTAATATTATTCATAGCTTGGGGGAAGGCATAGTAAACAAAATGATTTATAGGCAAGAAAAATATTGCTTACTCTACTTTACATCAAATTAAAAAACTAAAACTAAGGAGAAATTTCCTGACAGTTAGAACAATTAACCAGTGGAGCAACCTGCCTCCAGAAGCGGTGAATGCTCCAACACTGGAGGTTTTTAAGAAGAGACTGGACAACCATTTGTCTGAAATGGCATAGGATTTCCTGCCTGAGCAGGGGGTTGGACTAGATGACCTCCAAGGTCCCTTCCAACTTTATTATGATTACGGTTACGGTTATGATTATTAGAATATTTTCCCTCAAGTGGGCATCAATAAATTTAATATAACCTGAGTTTTTCTACCTTTTGGATGATTTCCTTGTGATATTAATTAAGTCCAGGAAACAATCAACTTGCCATGTGGCAATGAAGCTAACAATCTAAGCTTTTGCAGTGTTTTCTCTGACACCCTGCATTCAAATATTTCATCCTGAAGATCAGCCATACACCGTCTAATGTCCAGAAGATTGTTTTGAGTCTTTTTTAAATACAAGGATGCTAGACATTTGTCAATTTCATAAGGACTATCAACAATTTCATACACTTCTTTAGACATTTCCTTAATTTGTTTATACATACTAAAACTATTACTTTGTTTGCTCAGTTATTTTGTACCCTTGGACCTTGCACTTATCTTTGAAATATATCATTCTCCAGTTCCTTAGTTTGAAGTTTTTTTAAAAAAATAAAAAAATGGTTGTTGTTTTTATAGTACATACTTTTCTTATAACGTTTTGTTCATTTATTTGGTATTCTCACCTCAAATCCAGAGAGATATTTGTCAACAGCTAGACCTGTTTTTTTTTAGCATTAAATGTTATCAGGAATCATTTATCACTGTCTGCTGATGCCCACAGGAATTATTCTTTCCAATGGCCACACCTGGAAACAGCAGCGATACATCGCCATCACTTCTCTGCGGAAGCTGGGCCTGGGGAAGAAAAGCGTTGAGCATCAAATAGAAGACGCAGCTCAGACACTGATAGAGGCCTTTAGACAAACAAAAGGTATTTAATTTAGGGTAATGACAATGGCTTAAACCCTTTGAGTCTGAAGAAATCTTTTTCATTCTGGAGTATTTCAAATAAAAACAGATGTATTTTATTTTTTTAAAAAAAATTGAAACAATTGGCAGTTCTCACTTCTCTTCATCTCCTTAGTAGTTCTGCTCTTTAAAAATTCATTATAAAACATCTTCATTTGCAGGACAGCCTTTTGACCCTTCAATTTCAGTAATAAATGCAGTTTGTAATGTCATATGTGCTTTAAGTTTTGGACATCAGTTTGCTCCTGAAGATGAAAACTTCCAGAACTTAATTCAAGCCCTTGAAAGTATTGTGAAATTGACTGGTAACTTTTTCTACTTGGTAAGTCATGTTTTCTATTAAAGAGACAAAGTTTCCCAAACCAGCTATATTTCCATACATAATTTCATGTAATCATGATTGGAATCCATGGAGAAAGCCTTGGAAACTATCTATTGTACTATTCTCCCCTGGTAGGTGTGCATGACCTTGGGTCAGTCTTGACTCCAGGTGAGAGCCTCAACAAGTCTTTGCAGTTTCCTTGTCAAGATTTTGGAAGTGGTTTGCCACTGACCACTTCCTACGGTTGAGAGAGAAGGATTGGTCCAGGGTCACCCAGTTGACTTAGTGCTTGTGTTGGGACTAGAATTCAGAGTCTATCAGTTTCTAGGCTGGTGCATTAACAACAACACTAAAGTGGTTCCTGCCTATGCAGGAATCCATCATTTCACTACCACCAGCAGATGGCTGTCCATCCCAGGTTTAAACAGCTCTAGCACTTCCTGGGTGAGTCCATCACTGAACAGGTCTTACCAATCTTTTGTGATACCTAACCAACATCTGCATCATTGTAACTTAAACCCATTGTTTCCACCTGGATAAGAATTTGGAAACAGCTTTTCTGGAGGACTTTTGAGGTCTGTCACAATGTGTGTTTGTCGTGTTTTTTTTTTTTGTTGTTGTTGTTGTTAAGTGCTATCTATTATGATGAGCTGCTGAGAGTATTTTTTAACTGTGGTTAAATAAATAAATAAATAAATAAATAACCTTTCCTCTTCTTTTTTATTAGATGTATAATGTGTTCCCACGATTAATGGGCTACCTCCCAGGCCCTCACAAGAAGGCCCTGGCTTCCGTGGATTTGATTGTCTCCTTTGCAAAGCAGGAAATAGAGAAACACAAGGAATTTCATGCTCTGCATGAGCCACAGGATTTCATTGATTACTATCTTCTTCAGATGGAGAAGGTATGGATTTATTGTGCTTCAATAAATGGGCAAGGAATTATTACATTCCTCACTATAAATAAACAAGAGGAGCTACTAGTTTTGTTTTCCTTGGAGGTATTTTTTTTTTCATTCAGCTCCCATTCTGAATTTAGCCCAACCTAAATTCTGGATGCTTCTAAGTCAGAGCTATATCGTACCTCTTCAGCATCATACCATTCCCCCTTTTTTCTAAAGAAATTTATTTCTTACATATATGTAGGGGTGTGGGTCTATACATATGTCGTATATAGTATGTTTAGGTGTGTGTCGTGTATGTGTTTCACATTGAGAGCAGGCAAATAAATTTCATTTTTCAATGTGTGCCGTTGTGCCCACAGTATTGTGCTCCAATTCTTCATGAAGTTGCACTAGTTCAGTAAAAGGTTATAATGTCTCAGAAGAATCTAGTATTCCATGTATTCCATAAATTGTCATAGCGTGGCACAGCAGCCACAAAAGTTTGTAGTTAAAGACATCACTTTTTGGCATAACTTTAAATTAGAATGCATGCAGGTAATCTTGCTTGTTAAGTTTTGTGATTCACTCTAGTAGGTACACACGAGTCACTATACTGAATATTTACCAAAGCAACCAATCATAAAATAAAAAGAAACACATTCAAGTTCTTCCAAAGCTAAAACTCTCTTCAATCTCAGTGTGAATGTATTATTTTGTTATTATTCCCATGCATTGATAGAACCACCTGGAAAATATTTATTCTCATGAGTTGCAACATGGAGGCATAAATAACCACACAAAAGTTGCATAGAATCCATTGCAATTTTCATTTTCCATTTTAAACATCAGAGCAAGAATGACCCCAACTCTACCTATAATAAAGACAACCTGGCTGTATGTATTTGTGATTTTTTCGGTGCTGGAACAGACACAACCTTTGCTACTTTGAAGTGGGCATTGCTTCTCTTGGCCAATCATCCCGACATCCAAGGTGGGACTAAGGATTACTCTCAGGTTTTAAAACACATTATTTGAAATACTGAATGATTGAACTGAATCTATGTTTCATAATATTTTTTCTAGAAAGATTCTCGACCCTATAAGCAGATGCATGAAGTTAGCAGGTTTAAAGGAAAGCCAAGAACACAGAGATTATTCTTTGAATCCTCAATAAAATAGAGAGAGGAAATTAAAAACTAGAAATCAGTACAAATCTGAAACATTTAACACACTTTAAATGCAGAAATTTACCAAAGTTCATCCTAATTTGCATATAGAAGACCAAATTATAGTAGGATAATGAATACAGAAAAAAAATTAAGAGGATGGGCATGAGGTGATGTACAAAGTGAAGCTCCCTGCATGAACAGAAGAGATGGGAGCATTGTGGGTGAAAAAGTGGTTGTACTGCAGCTCCAGATGAAACAGATTATCTGGACCCCTTTCAGTCAGTCTTCAGGTCTGGTTATGGGACAGAAATAACATTAGTTGTACTTGTAAATGAGCTCTGTGGGGAGCAGGATGGGGTTGGTGCATCCATCCTTGTGCCTCTTGACTCTCGGTGGTTTTTGATACCATCAACCATGGTTTTCTTAGGGCCTGCTGCAAGAATTGGAGCTGGGAGGCTCAGTGTTGTGCTGGTTCAGCTCTTTTCTTCAAGGCCAATTCTAATTGGTGGTGATAGAGGGCAAGAGGTCCAGCCCACAGCCACTCCTTTTTGGTGTGTTGCAGGGCTCCATACTCTCCACTCTTTTTTAACCTCTTCACGAAACCTCTGGGTGAGATCATCCAACACCATGGAATGAAGTATCATCCACTTCCCCATGATATTTAACTTTACATCTCCTTCCTTTGTGACCCAGGTGATGTGGGAGTAACTGTGAGAGGATCTAGGTGTCCTAGTGCACCACTACTTAAGTATGAGGCAGCAGTGTGCTGCAGCTCATAAAGCAATCAAGCAGTCCTAGAGCCTAATGCAAGATATTTCCAGAGTGGTTAGTTCAAGCATAGGTTGGTATGCATCTGCCTTCTTTTCCTAGTCGGGTGACCTTGAGGCAGCATCTCAACGAGATATTATGGTGGTGAGACCATACTTAGAATACTGCATCCAGTTCTAGTTACCATGATACAAAAAAGATGTTGCGGTCCTGGAAAATGAGCAGAGAAGAGCAACAACAATGATAAAGAGTCTGGAGGCTAAATTGTATGAGAAATGGTTGAGGGAGCTGGGTATGCTTAGCCTACTGAAGGGATGTATTGAGGGGACATGATAACTCTCGTCCAATATATGAAAGAGTCAACCATCCCAATATGCTAGTCAGCAAAAGAAACTCCACATCACTGGTGTCTGTTTGTATTACAAAGGGCTCATCTGGGTCAGGGTGTTTTAAGACTGGTTTGGTGGTGAAAAGACGTTTGAGTTTTTCAAATGCTGCTTGGCATTCTAGTGACCAATTTAGGTGTTGGCTGGGCCTGGGTGTCAATGGTCCGATAAGCAAACCCAACAAAAGAATTCCTCTAGGCAATTTAGTCCCAAAAGGTAGAAGTTTATTGGATACACCATCTTGGAACTGAAGAAGCAAAACCAGTTCTGATTTTTCCTGTGCGAAAGCTTGTTTAGTTAAACAATAGATTCCATTGCCCCCACCTCTTGGGTGTTCACATTGTCCAATAGTACAACTTCTTTTTGTTATGGAAGCAGTCCATTTCTCCATCAAGCACCTGCAATAATAACTTTGGCGGCTTGCAGGCTCTCACTATTCGTGAATGGCTTCTTGGTATCCCGTTTCCTCTCTTTGCTTTACCCATCCCCCCTTTTCTTTGGCAAGTTGATTAGCAATGGGACTAGCAGGCATTATAGTGATTCAATCTTGACAATGTAGAGCCGAGGTGGCGCAGCAGTTAGAGTGCAGCACTGCAGGCCACTTTAGCTGACTGTGTTCAGCAGGTCAGCGGTTCAGATCTCACCAGCTCAAGGTTGACTCAGCCTTCCATCCTTCCGTGGTAGGTAAAATGAGGACCCAGATTGTTGGGGGCAATGTAAATATATATATATATATATATATATATATATATATATATATATATATACATTGCTTACTGGTGTACACCGCTTAGAGAGTGCTTGCACTTAAAGCGGTATATAAGTCTCATAAATAAATAAATAAATGTAGAAGCTTAGCTAAGAGAGATCCAACCTCGAAGTAAGGAGAAATTTCCTGTCAGGGAGAACAATTAATCAGTGGAATGTCTTACCTCTGGAAGTTTTGGATGTTCCATCACTGAAGGTTTTGAATGGGATTATACAAGGTCCATGCCTTTAGGAGGAGTTGGGCTAGAAAAGTTCCAAAGTCCCTCCCAGACATATGATTCTATTAAATGATTACAATTAATTACCTAAATGTTATTCTAGGTCAGAGGTCTTCAAACCTGGCCTTTTTATGAACTTGTGGACTTCAATTCCCAGAATTTCCCAGCCAGGCATGCTGGCTGAGGATTTCTGAGAGTTGAAGTCCACAAGTTATAAAAGGGTCAAGTTTAGAGACCCCTGTTCTAGGTACTAAAGTTCTATTGAGGATTAAAATTTGGAAACAAATAAAGGAAACACAATACTGAAAATGAAGTTTCTATTTCCATCATTTTTTTTTCTAGAAAAAGTCCAGAAGGAGATTGAAGATGTGTTTGGCTTCTCAGGGTCAATTTCCTATCAGGATCGAAAGAAGCTGCCTTACACCAATGCTGTGATTCATGAAATGCAGCGTGTAAAATATGTCTTGCTTTTTGGGGTTCCCAGACAAAGCATAAAGGATGTGAAGATGAGGGGTTACCACATTCCTAAGGTGAGAAACATGGTCAGGCTGCATTCCCGTAATCCATTATGGAAGTAAAAGCAGAATATGGATTTGGGCAGAAGCTCTCTGTTTTAATGGAAGGGAGGGGAGAAAGGAAGCTAAGCTGCTGAGCAGACACTGCTCTCAGAATCTGCTTTGGAAATGAACAAATAGGGGTCCATAAAGGCAAGCTAAAAACTAATGTTTCATCAATATTGTTTGAACTGTTTTGCCCATTTCTTTATGAAACTGTTCTACTTAATCCTATCTTTTTTTTTTTTTACAGAGGACCGTTATTATCCCAGACCTGCGCTCTGTTCTTCTTGACCCTGAACAATGGGAAACACCTGAAGAATTCAACCCAAATCACTTTTTAGATAAGGATGGGAAGTTCATGGAACGAGAAGAGTTTCTGCCATTTGGAATAGGTACATCCATGATCCCAAAGCAATTTATAATTTATAGATAAGATAATCTTTATTGTCATTTTTTTTTACTGTGGGCACAACGGCACACATCAAAAATGAAATTTAGTTGCCTGCTCTCAAAGTGAAACACATACATGACAAACACCTAAACATACTATATATAACATATGTATAAACCCACACCCCTACATATACATAACAAATAAATATTAAATACTGTCCATCTTGAATATATAATGGAAGGAGGAAGCTTGAGAGTTCACAAGTTAATGCTGTTTGGAATGAAACTACGGCTGAATCTGGATGTTCTGCTGCGGATACCATGAAGCCCCCTCTTCCCAGAAGATAACAAGGAAAATAGGTCGTGAAGAGGATGTGTACTGTCCCAGATAATCTTACAGACCCTGCTCAAGCAGCGCTTCTGTGCTATATCCCGGATGGGAGGGAAGGAACTGCCAATGATCTTTTCAGCCATCCTCACCACTCTCTGCACCGCCTTCCAGTCTGAAGCAGTGATGCTTCCAAACCAGACTGTGATGCTGTATGACAGGATGCTCTCGATCGTCCCCCTGTAGAAAGTGGTAAGATAGGAGAAGGAAAATGTGCTTTTCTCATGCGACACAGAAAATGCAAGCGCTGCTGTGTCTGCTGTTGAGCGACCAAGCCAGCCTACTCGTTAGCTGCACACCCAAGAATTTGATGCTGGTAGCCATCTCCACAGGTGAACCATTAATGCACAGAGAAGTGTGGCTGTGTCTGCCTTTTCTGAAATCGACAATGATCTCTTTGGTTTTTTCAGTATTTAAAACTAGGCTGTTTTCCTTACACCAGTTCACCAACCCCTCAACATCCTTGCGGAAAGCTTCCACATTGTCATCATGAATAAGGCCCACTACTGTTGTATCATCTGCAAACTTCACAATATGGTTAGTGGCAAACCTAACACAATAGTCATGGGTCAACAGGGTGAACAGCAGCGAACTTAGGACACAGCCCTGAGGAGAACCTGTGCTCAAGAAAATGATATTATAGGTATTTGTTCCAACTTGCACATATTGGGGCCTATTGGTAAGAAAATCAAGAATCCAGTTGAACAAAGGGGTGTTTAAGCCTAAAAGGCCCAGTTTGTCTACAAGATGCTGGGAATGATTGTGTTAAATGCCGAACTGAAGTCGACAAATAACAAACACACATGAGTATTTTCTTCAGCCAACCGTTTATCAAACTGAAGAAACATTTAAGGAAACTGATTATCTTTTTCAAGTTGGGTGGTAGGGAGCATTAAACATGAAAGTCATGACCTACTGATGTTACTCTGCTCCCATGCTCTGTTCATTCAGCATCAGCAACCAAATTATATAGGAATACCTCAAAATCACCTTCTGGGTATAGAATAACAGAAGAACAGAGTTGGAGGCCCCCTCTGCTCAGGCAAAAAAACCTATAACATTTCAGACAAATGGTTGTCCAATCTCTTCTTTAAAACTTCCAGCGTTGGAGCACCCACAATTTCTGGAGGAAAGTTATTGCACTGTCTGGAAATTTCCCTTTTGTTCCAGATTGGTTGTGTCCTTGATGAGTTTCCATCCATTGCTCCTTGTCCAACATGAAGGACTGGAACCACTGTGTCCCCATAGCTAAAGTCCAAAGGAAGCACAGAAGAATACTTGGTCAATGAACTGAACTGGTTTCTGGCATAATTTATTTGCTGAGACAGCCAAAACAGATTCAGTAGCATAGATGGATAAATTCCATATTAAAATGGCCAGTTTCACTCAAATGGATTTGCAGCTGTCAGACCATTGATGTCTCAATACTTGTAGTACTTGAGAATGTAACTTGAAGATGACTTTGACGTGTAATGATAAATCAAGCAATGATTAAGCTCTGCTAGTAAAAAGGACTTACGAGATATGGTGAAACTGCATAGGAAGCCAGATGTAGTAAGCAAAGAACAACAAGAATAAATGTTTGGTCACTGAAAGGGAATTCCTACAGATTATGTCCATTTCACTTCCAGTAGTCTGATGCACCACAGAATAAGTTTGTAGACAGAAAGAGGAGAAAGTGACTTCCCTTTTGTAGGCCCATCTCTGGAAATACTTGCAAGATATTTCAAGGGGTGTATTGCTTTGCCTTTGAAATAGTATACCATCTACCACAACCTGAGTTAAAGTTATGCTATGAGTTAAAGTTATGCTCAGACATACTACATCAATATAGAAATCTTCTTGGGATGTTACAAATCTTTTCAGATTTCCTTGATGATCTGCTTATAAACTGGAGAACAGATTATGACCCTCTTCATGCATGCTTTGTTTCATCTACAGGTGTGCGTGCATGTGTGGGACAGCAGCTGGCAAGAATTGAGATCTTCATCTTTCTGACCAGCCTGTTGAGGGCCTTCAGCTTCCGGTTGCCTGAAGGAGTGAAAGAACTCAATGAAGCCCCTATTGTAAAAGTGACATTGCATCCACATCCTTACAAACTGTGTGCTATTCCCACAAAGGCTTAAACATAAGCAATATAAAAAGCATTAAAGTAACTATAGAATATTATTCAATATGATAATTGTTTCTTATATATGTATTCACTTAATATTGTGTTTTGCTTCTATTGACTCAACACTAAAACGTGTTCAATATATGGCTGGATTCACACATCATAGCTAACCTCGTCAACCAGAGACCAGGAGATTGTGAATAAAAAATGTGCTGTGTGCTTGTTAAGTTTTTTCTTTTCTTTTTCCTTTGGGTGCCAATACAACATAATACTTCCCATTAAGTCTTAGTATCCTTTTTCATTTTTAATAAATTCCTCTGTGGACTTCATGTTCTCCAGCCAGAGCAAACTTCATAGATGTCCCCAAATAATACCATGCTTGAAGGTATAAAAATTTGCTGACAGAATTAACAGAATAAGAAAAAGGGCGTGCTACACATCTAGATCCCAGTGCAGAACATTTTTCATCCCATTCTTAGGGCTGAACTTGGACTAAATCGAATATCTGCTTCTGTTTGTTCTGAGGAATGTTTCCTGTGACAGTTGAACCCGTTAAGCATATCACCATCCTCTGCTATCATTTCTGTATAATAAAACAGATTTTCTAACAGCAGGTTTCACTCCAAAATTACTTTACTTTGCTCCATTCTCTATTAGTGAGTTTCTTCTCCTTTAATTATAATACAGTGGTACCTCAGTACTCGTTGTTAATTAGTTCTAGGACAGTGGTTCTCAACCTGTGGGTCGGGACCCCATTTGGGGTCAAATGACCATTTCACGGGGGTCGCCAAACCATGCTGTCCACCATTTTTTTCCCTTTTCCCTAGCTGTCCTACTCCCTCTTATTGGTGGCCACACCCACTTGGGGGTCACCATAACATGGGGAACTGTATTATGGGGTCACGGCATTAGAAAGGTTGAGAATCACTGTTCTAGGAGGTGCAATCAGTACCAAAATTGATGAATACCAATGAAATTTTTCCCATAAGGAATAATGTAGTGAGTCACAAGGCAGTGGACACCAACAAGTTCTAGCTTCTGCATTGAGTACCAAACAAACAATGACTACCAGGACAAAATTATTGCATCAAAATGCATTGAGTACCAAATTTGATGAGTTTCCAAGCAGTTGAGTACCAAGGTATTTAGTTCTTTCTGGTTCCCATTAGTATCCAATCTTTGAAGTCTCACTTTATCATGTTGCTCCTAATCAACTGCCTTTTTATGGAAAGATTTCTTATAATTAATTTCAAAATCTTCATATATTTTTTAAAAAATTCAAGTCTGTCTGGTCCCTTTGTTTATCACTTTCCAAAATGAAGGTTCTAATCACTCCTGTGCTGTTTATTCCAACCTAAGAACTTTTAAAGATTTAATACTTTCATAAATCTTCATTAGCCACGTATTAAAGGAAACGTATGTAGTATAATCAAACTTGGCCTTCTGAAGGATATTAACATTTTAAAAAGCCAGTATCAACGCTGTGACAAACTAAACTGAAGCCATTTTCATATTGTCATCATTGCCACAATTGATGGCTTTTCATAAACTTTATTGATTGATGGATTTGTACTAGACATGTATTAATCTGAATAGGTTACATGATTGGTGGGAATCAGAGAGGGAATTTTTAATGAGTTAAATTTGAATTATATATAAATGTGTTGGTTTTTGGATAATTGACTACCCCATCACCACGCTGTTTCCTAAGCACTGTGTTGTAAAAATTGAAAAATTTAATAAAACTTGTATTAAAAAAAAGAATAGCCTAGACCCAGGTCTATTCCAGGCTTGTGTCTACTGGGAGATCTCTGATCAGCTCCAGGAGTGGTATTGCTTGGCCGTGCATTTAGACATTGAGCTAACCCATTACAAAAAAACCTTCAACTTCTGGACCTGGGCCTAGACCAGACCCGACAAGATGTATACCTGCCCGATTAATCACACTGACAGGGATGGCTGAACCTTCAAAAGCACCTCCGGGACTGCCAATCAAGTGTTTCAGATGTGGCCAGCCAGGCCACTGGGCGGCAGTTTGTCCAGTTCCTTTCCCTCAGCAAAAAGTGCTTCCTTTCCACCAGAAAGGAAAAAGGGAAGCCAGCCACCCACCAGAGAGAAAACAAACTGGATTACTCAGGAACAAGTTACTCAAGTCACCTCACCTACTTAAGAGAGGATTGAGACCCCAGCCAAAGCTGCCATTGCACCTTCCCCTTATGACAGTGATGATGAGGGAGAGAATGACCCAATGGTGAGTCAACCTGTTCCACCTTTTTCCCTCTCTGCCAAACCCATAGTCCCTAAGGCAGGAGCTCAATGGACCTGTGGGTGTTAGTAGTCTCTGGGTGTTCATGATGCCTAATTAACCTCCCAACTGTCCTCAAGTTAGGCATCAGGGCAAGGCAACTCTCCACTCCCATGAAATTTGAACAGGCAGATGGATCTTTAATGGGCTGAACTTTAATAACCCACCTAATGGAGCCAATGGGGTTAGAGGTGGGGGAGCACTGGGAATTTATCAGATTTGTAGTAGCCCCCAAAATGACTGAAGCGGTGATTTTAGGATTAGCTTGGTTGGACAAGTGAGACCTCTAATATGGTGGGAGAAAGGAATGAGAACCCTGAAATTATCCATAGAGCTGTCACTCCCAACTCCTCCCATGACACCAGTGGGACAGCTGGGCCACCATCCAAGATGCTGAAATTGGCAAAAAAAAAAAAACCCCTGCCAGGAGTATCTTTTATTCCCAGTGAATACCGAGACTTGGCGGAAGTGTTTAGTGAGACGGAGTGTGACCTCCTGCTACCCCACAGATCCAATGACTGTGCCATTGAGATTCTGCCAATTGCTAAGTTGCTAAAGCCAAGGATGTATGCTATGACCCCCCTCGAGGTAGAGGAATTGAGGTAGGACATTGAAAAAAAATTGGCGAAGGATTTCATTGAACCTGCCAAGTCCAAATTTGCTGCTCCAATGCTTTTTAAAGAGAAAAAAGATGAGTCACTTAGGCTCTGCATTGATTTTAAAGGTCTGAACGCAATAAGCATGGAGAATATGTACCCTCTCCCTTTAATGAAGGACTTGTTAGCCCATCTGGTGAAGGGGCAAATTTTTATCAAATTAGACCTAAGAGAGGCATATTACTGCATGAGAATAAAAGAGGGCGATGAATGGAAAGCTGCTTTCAACAGCCCTCTGGGTAGCTATCAGTTCAAAGTCATGCCTTTTGGATTACAAGGAGCTCCAGCCATTTTCATGAAGCTAATCAACCAGGTGCTGCATGATCATTTGTATAAGGGATTTTTGGTGTATCCTGATGACATCTTAATCTATATAGAGACTATGGCAGAACATATAAGTGTGAGAGGTACTGAAAAAACTCCTAAATGCTAACCTCTATGCCAAATTTTCAAAATGTGAATTCCATCAGACGCGTTTGGATTATTTGGGCTATTGAATTTCCAACAAAGCCATTGAGATGGATCCAGCTAAGGTGAAAGCCATTATAGAATGGCAGCCTCCACAGACTTGAAAACAACTCCAAAGTTTTTTGGGATTTGCTAATTTCTACCGCCAGTTCATTCCTTCATTTGCCGAGATTGCATTACCCCTTACTGACCTATTAAAAACTGGAAAAGATGGAGGCAAACCACGACCAGGTCAGCCTCTATGCTGGTCATTAAAATGCCAAACTGCTTTTGAAAATTTAAAAGGACTATTTGCTGCTGAACCAATTCTGAAACACCCTCATCCTGAGGAGAAATTTGTTATTTAAGCCGATGCCAGTGATGTAGCTGTGGAGGCAGTACTGTTATAGAAAAATCATGAAGGAAGGTTACAGTCCTGTGCTTACACTTCAAAAAAATTCACTGACACAGAGCTTAGATGGGCTGTTTGGGAGAAGGAAACCTTTACCATTAGGTGGACTTTGCTGACATGGCATCATTTCTTAGAGGTACCTTTTGAAATATGGATTGATCACAAAAACTTAGAAGCATTGGAAACTCTCCCAAACAAGTACACTGGGCACAATATTTTAACCGTTTTAACTTTGCCTTAAAATACGTACCAGGAGGGGGGAAAATAGCTGATGGCCTCTCTAGATTACCCCAATACAAAAACCAACACGAACAGGTCATAGATTCTATCATGCCACCACCTCAAGTTATCTCTCAAATAACCCTTCAGAAACAGCAATACACGAAACCTCCTAAGCCAAATGGTCCTTTGACAGAGAAGTTAAAATGAGAATTAATGAATGACCAATGGTTCAACGGCAATCAAATCATCCTTACCCATAGGGATAGTCTGGCTTGGAAAGGGGGAAAATTATATTTGCCTGAATCACTCAGACTCCAAGCACTTCAACACAACCATGATGTTAAACAAGCTGGGCATTTTGGTTACTTAAAAACACTACTCCTAATTCAGTGGCAATTTTGGTGGCCAGGCTTAAAGAAAGATGTAGAGAACTATGTAAAAAGCTGTGCAGTCTGTGCTACCATGAAAAGGATCCCAGGAAAACCTCCTGGACTATTACAGCCTGTTGCAGATCCTTCCCAACCATGGGAAAAAATCACTATGGATTTTATTGTCTAATTACCTGACAGTAGAGGAAATACAGTCATACGGACTGTGGTTGATCTTTTTTCAAAGCAAGCACACTTTATTGCATGCTCAGGCCTCCCATCTGCCAAATACTGGCTAAGTTGTTCCTCAAACATATTTACAGATTACACGGAATGCCAAAGCAGATAATTTCCAATAGGGGGGTTCTGGAGGGATTTTCTCAGATTAATTGATTCTATGCAAGGACTGTCATCAGCTTTTCATCCATCTATGAATGGGGCATCTGAAAAAGTGAATGCAATGATGGAACAATATCTTAGATGCTGTGTTGATTACCAACAAACAAATTGGACTGATCTCCTCCCTTTCGCTGAAGTGGCTTATAACAACACTGTACACAGCAGTACCGGTTTTATGCCATTCAAGATAGCCACAGGGAGGGATTTTATTCTGATTCCTGAATATCCCCAGGAACCCTCTGCCCCTCAGACTTTAGTTCAATAGGTGTCTGCTTGGAAAGATGTTTGGGACAATGCAAAGAAAGCTTTGAAAAAAGCCTTGGAAACTTATAAAAAAAACAAGCTGATAAAAAAGAGCACCTCAAAAATCATTTTGTGTGGGGGGAAGAGGTTTATCTTTCTTAAATTTCCTAGCAAA